GTGAGTTCAAGCCTTGCATCGGGCTCTGTGCTGACAGCTCGGAGCCTGCAGCCTGCTTCGGATTCTGTGTCTCCCCTCTCTCTCTGCCCCTCTCCTGCTCACACTCTGTGTGTCTCTCTCTCTCAAAAATAAATAAACATTAAAAAAAAGAGAGAAAGAAAACAGATGAACATATGGAAGGGGGGGGAAGAAAAGAGAGGGAAACAAACCACAGAAGACTCGATGATAGAGAACAAACTGAGGATTGATGGACGGAAGTGGGTGGGGGATGGGCTAAATAGTGACGGGCATTAAGGAAGGCACTTGTAATGACGAGCACTGGGTGTTGTATGTAAGTGATGAGTCACTGAATTCTACTCCTGAAACCAATATTGTACTGTGTGTTAACTAAACTTTAAATAAATAAATAATAAATAAATGAATGAATGAATAAATCCTGCAATGAGACCATTTCATACCCACTAGGATGGTGACAATCAAGAGGACAGACAATAACAAATGTTGAGGGTGCAGAGAAAAGGGAACCCTCCTGTGGTGCTGGTAGGAACACAAAATGGTGGGGCCACTTGGAGAAAAGTTTGTCAGTTTCTTTAAAGTTAGATATAGGAGTGCTTGGGTGGCTCAGTCGGTTAAGTGTCCAACTCTTGATCTCAGCTCAGATCTTGATCTCAGGATCCTGAGTTCAAGCCCCTCATTGGGCTCCACATTGGGTATGAGGCCTACTTCACTAGTTTTTTTTTAAAGTTTTTTTTTTTTTATTTATTATTTTTGAGAGAGAGACAGACAGAGCCTGAGCTGGGGAGGAGCAGAGAGAGGGAGACACAGAATCTGAAGGAGGCTCCAGGCTCTGAGCTGTCAGCACAGAGCCCGACACGGGGCTCGAACTCATGAACTGTGAGATCATGACCTGAGCCAAAGTCATACACTTAACTGACTGAGCCGCCCAGGCACCCCTGAAGCCTACTTTAAAAAAAAAGTTAAATATAAAGATTCCAAATGACCCAGCAGCCCACTCTCGGGCTTCTATCCAAGAGAAATGAAAATATGTCCACACAAAAAAGTTTATGTATGAACATTCATGAGACTATTATTCATAATAGCCAAAACTTTGGAACAACTTAAATATCCATCACGTGGTAACTGGATAGGGCAGATGTGGTGTGTGCATGCAAAGGAATATTATTTGGCGATAAAAAAGGAAAAATCAATTGAGATACACCGCAACATGGGTAGACCTCGAAAACATGATGCAAACGCAAAGGAACCAGACATAAGAGACCACACATTATATGATTCCATTTACAGGAAACATCCAGATAAAGTGACTGTATGGAGGCAGGGAGGAGATTAGCATTTGCCTGTCAAGGGGTGAAGGAAAAACAAAGGACTGACCACAGACATGAGGGGCTCACACTGGGGTGATGGAAATGTTCTAAATCGGATTCATGGTGATGGTTGCACAACTTGGTGTATCCACTAAAAACAATTGAATTGTACCCTTGGAATGTGTGAATACATGCTATGTAAAACATGCCTCAAAAAAATTACATTATGATACATCATTGTGAAAGAAACCAGGTGGCGGGACCAGATTTGGCCCTCAGGCCCCACAGTTTCCTGAAAACATGGCGGCTGTCTTAGCAAAGCAATAAAGGGTCCTTCTGACTTTGGGAGGTTTTGCTAAAGTTGAAGAGCGTGAGCAAGATAAATTCAGCACTGCTATTGAGAAACAACTCCAGTGACATACCATTTTCTCAGCCGTTCGGGTAGCAAACATAAATACATGGGGTCACACCTTGTCAGAGCATATAAGGAAAGAAGCACCCCCTTGCACTGCTGGCAGAGTAGAAGTTGGCAGCCCGATGGGGGCAGTGGGACTGCATTACAAATGGACATACCCTTGACCCAGCATAGTAGGAACTCATCCTGCAGATAGGCCCACACACCTGCCAGATGATATTTGCATGCACTTACTCGTGCAGCGTTGCTAGTGAAAGCAAACAATGGGGAACAACCTAACTCCATCGGTGGGAGAACAGCCAGATAATCGACACTACACCTATAAAAAAAAGAACAAGGAAGCCCTTTACGCACTGCGAAGGAAAGACGGCCAGGACATTATCAGGAGAGAAGCTCACAAGGACACTGGGTACGATACACTGACGTTTGTATAGAATGACCAGTCTATGTTTACATTATGTGTTTGTGTGTATACCTGTGTACACATTTGTGTACTTTGGAAGATTTTGCTAGGGTTGAAACTCAAGAGGAGGGGCACCTGGGTGGCTGAGTTGGTTGAGCGCCCAACTCTCGATTCTGGCTCAGGTCATGATCCCAGGGTCGGGGGATCAAGCCTCACGTCGGGCTCTGGGCTGAGCAGGGGGCCTGCTTAAGATTCTCTCTCTCCTTCTCTCTCTCTCTCTTCTTTCTCTCGCTCTACCCTCTCCCCCCACTCTCAAGCACATACACTGTCTCTCTCACTAAAAAAAAAAAAAATCTTAAAAAAAAAAGAAAAAACCAAGAACAAAATAAATCCAACATTGGCTTAAAAAAAAGACAAACTCCAATCACACACCATTTCACACCATTGGCAAACATAACACAGCCGTATGTGTGTGTGCACATATATTTGCATACAGCTATATAAAATGTCTCCAGAAGTATCTCCAAGGAATTGAGGCTGGCTTTAGAAAGCTGACTGGCTCACAGCATGGGAATGGAACATTTCACTACATGCTCTTCTGTCGTTCTTGAATTGTGGGCCATGTGAATGTATTTATTCATCAAATTAATAAACTAAGGATATGGAGGAAATAAATAATACAATGGAAAAGGCTTTCAAAGATACACTGAATTGTATGTTCCACAAATAAGGATGTCACCATTTTGTGTAGCCGCTCACATTTTATACATCGGGCTATTGTTTGAAAATTGTCTTTACGTTTCTGAAAGCTTCCAGACTTCCAAGGACCAAAAAAATATTCATGCTCCATAAGTGCTCCAAACGTAAAAGTCCTGAGCAGCCATGATTTGGGTCTCTGAGTTGAGGCGAGCCTGATCCCCTAGGAAAACATTGCTACTTGGACAAGAGACTTTTAATTCCATCCAAAGACACCCTTTTTATTACCATATAATGTGTGGAACACATACGTCACCTCTCACCCTCCCCAGCACCCTTTCTGTGAGCTTCATCCCACCGAGAGCTTCACTAGAGCCTAGGGGACGGGCAGACCTCTGGATAGAGGGAAGTAGGGCACATGACTAATGATTATGGTGGTGGTGTTGTTTTTAAGTCCAGATGGGACCAGAATATCCTGCTTGGTTCACAATAAAGCTGTATCGTTTATATTTTTAAAGGTTTGAACTAAGCTCCTAAAAGCCACGTAGGTATAAATAACAAAAATATAATACTAGAAAATAAACGTCAGCAGTGTCGTAAATCACTAACAAGGCGTAACAAGCAGCCCTGGTCCCGGGAGGATGATTTAGTACAACGTAGTAGAGGTGAAATGCTACTAGCCTTTTGGTTTAATTGCATACCCTGCCGTCCAGAAGAAACCACTGTCCTCAATTTGGCAATGGGCGTTCCCTCATATGTCTTTTTTACTTGGACGACATATGTATGGATCCTGAAACTGGAGAGTATTATTTTTTTTTTTATTGAACTATATGCATTTTGTATGATAGGATAAATCGACCTACGCTGGGCACACCTTGCCTCGTTCCTTTCTGTGTTGTGAAATTCATCCCGGTTAGTGCCTCTTTGGATCCCAGCTCTGCACCTCCCAGCTGTGTGTCCTTGGCCACATGCATGAACTCTTTGTGCCCTGTTCTCTTACCAACAAAACAGGTTGGTGACAGCTCCCATCCCTGGGCTGCATTTAGCAGTAAATGAGTTCGTCTTTGTGCCGATCTTAGGACCATGTCTGGTTTATCATACATGCAATGGACGCGAGTACCGACTTCACTTCAGAAAATGAAACTCGGAAACTAGGTCCTAGGGATGTCATGCCACTTGTCTCGGTCACATGACCAGTGATGGGTGGAGCCCCAGGGTCTAACAGGAAATGGGTCCTATCACCGGCACCCTCACATCTCCCAGAATTCATGGCTCTCGGCCACAGCAAATGGGAGCTCAGCAAACATCTGTTGTACAGAAGGGATTGTGTGATTTTTCACAAACCTTTACTAATTCTCCGATGAAGCTAATCTGATGTGAACCAGGTACTTCTTAAAAGATATTGAAAATTTGGGAAGAATAAATGGGGTTTGTCACTGTAGGAAATAGAAATGAAGTCACAGATGAAAGAAACCAATCATGAGGGGCGCCTGGGTGGCTCAGCCGGTTAAGTGTCCAACGTCAGTTCAGGTCATGATCTCGTGTTTCGTGAGCTCGAGCCCCCAGTCGGGCTGTATGCTGACAGCTCAGAGCCTGGAGCCTGTCTCACGGTGCGTGGGATCAAGGCCTTCATCGGGCTCTGTGCTGATAGTGTAGAGCCTGCTTGGGATTCTCTCTCTCCCTGTCTCTCTGCCCCTCCCCTGCTTGCGCGCTCTCTCTCTCTCTCTCTCTCTCTCTCTCAAAATATTTTTTTTCAAAATTTTTCATAAAAAATTAAAGAAAAAAAAGAAAAGAAAAGTTATTGGAAGGGCGCCTGTCCCACGGAGTCCAGGCAGGAAACCAAGGTAGCCTCAGCTCCACTGGGGAAAGTGTGAGCAGGTCTGGCACTAGGAAGCCATGAGCTCCCCTGCGTTGGGACTGGGTTCAGAAATGTCCAGCCTCCCTTTCAACCGCCCCCAAGATCCGACGGCTGCCCGATAAATCCAGCCAGAGGCAGCCAGCAGCCAGCGATGTCCCCACGAGGGTCTGCCTTGGGCCCCAGAGCAAGGCAGGGAGGCAGGGGGCACTGATCAGCACACATACTTCCTCCAGACGGGAAAACCAGTCCTCATCCCGATGGGGCTCCATTAAAGCACGATGCTCATTTTGTGTTCCTTACCAGGTTACTGAAGATATTCTTGCAAGCCAAGAAGAGGAGGAGAAAAACAAAAAGAATAAAAAGAAGGCAAAGAAACCCAAGAAACCTAAAGAAGATAAGGAAAAGAAAAGCACAAGGGAAAAAAGCAAGGTAAGGAATTTGGAATTTTAGAAATTTTCTTTTAAGTGCCTTTTTTTGCTTTGAATCCGCAGCTTGGTCCCCTCCGGAGATGGCAGACATTCGTTTCCTAGGCAACCGTTCTTTCCTACCAACTGTTTTTCAGTATTTTTTTTATGCTGCTCCATCACCCGTCACCATCCTCTCTGTGACTTGTAGTAAATAAATATTAGGATAAAGAGTGGTTTCAGGGACTCGGACCCTGTACGTGTTCATTCATGTATGGGATACCTTTGAAATTTTTATTCCTCAAAATCAGTGATCCCTCCGGTCTTTCCTCAAAGGTAGACATCAGGAAAAACGCTGGCGAACCAGATGACCACTGCAAAGTCAAAATAATCTTAACTGCTTTAACCGAAGTGTGTTCGTTCAAATTTATCCCTTCACGTTGACATGGTGGCTACATTTTAGTGGGAGTTTTTCCTTCTTACTATCCAAAGGAAATCAGAGTTCAAACAGTGTCACTTTGGGCCAGGCCTCCTCTCGTGCAAGGGGGAAGGTGGTGGCCGTGGCTGGATTCACCAGGTGCTGCTGTCTTGGGGGGTTAACTGGCGGGGTCTTCACCTTCAAGCACGTGGAGAGGTGGGCGCCCAGGGCAGTGTTCTCCCAGCAGAAACTCCTTCTATGGGGGGTGGAGCTCAGGCTGGAAGCTGGCATCATCCTGAAGCGTGATTATGTTTAAAGAAGCATTTCTGCATAGACAGTTCCTTCTTCACACTGACCAAAACCCTGATCTCAGTCGACTCAGGAGAACGGATCCTTAAGGGTGATGGTCCGTCTGTGACCCTGTCCAGGGGCAGAGACCCAGCTGTCGCTCAGGTAGCAGCGGCCACACTCCTCCTGTTCCAAAAGGTGGATTCAGGAGAGACACGGGGCAGGCTGCATAGTCCAGGACAAGTGATGGGACCAAGGAGCCAGAAACGATGAGCAGGGGAGAAAGGAGACTGTTGGTGAATGTACAATGACAATACCCAGATTCCACGTAAATGCAAGTCCTGGGTGGTGGTGATGAAGGCCAACCTCTTGTTAAAAATCCCTTGCACAGGGCGCCTGGGTGGCTCAGCCGGTTAAGCGTCTGACTCGGTTTCAGCTCAGGTCACGATCTTACGGTGTGTGGGTTCGAGCCTAACGGCGGGCTTTGCGCGGAGGGCACGGGGACTGCTCGGGATTCCCTCTCCCTTTCTCTCTGCCCCTCCCCCACTCAAATAGATAAATAAACTTTAAAAAAAGTCTCCCTTGCACGATTGCGGCCACCCAGCTGGAGACAATTGCCCCTTCTGCCAGGTTCTTCTCCACTTGTCCGGCACCGTGGCTGACAGAACCTGCCCCCATCCGTCCTTGTCCCTCTCCTTCACCACGCTGCATTGGGTGCTCTTCTTTTGAAGAGAAGAGAGACCTCTTACAGCTCGCTCTGGGCACAACCCGCTCCACCGCAACCCCAGCTCAGTCCCCAGCTACCCAGCGTGTTGTGCTGACCCCTCATCTAATTCCGCCCCAGGAATTGCTGCTCCAAGGCCACACCACCCAGGGACAGCCCACCCCCCTCCGTGGGGCCATTCTGAAGGGTTGTCCCAGCTCCCAGGCTCCCTGTGGGGTCAGCTGACCGCTCACGTCCAGGGGTAGCACAGCTCAGCTACATCTGGTTCTCTTCCCGGGGCTGCTCCCCTCCCAGTGGGTGGTGTTCCCAGTAGATCACCCCCTCGGCCTCCATCTGAGTGTTTCCAGGGAACCCAACCCACGAGGCCACCTGTTGTCCCTTACTCCTCTGCTTGGGTCCCAAAGCTTCTAATGTGTTGCAGAAGAAAAATTTAAAAAATAAATAAAATGAGAAGAAGAGAGCTTACTCGCTACAGTTAATTTTTAAAGCCCCCCCTCACACGCTGCAAGATACTTTTCAAGCGGTGCCTGAGAATAAGGACAATTGGAAGGATTTCAATTTTATTCTAAGCATTCTCTTGCTCTAAATATGCATTAGGGAGTTTGACACTTGCAAATTAAAAATTCACTGTTAATGAAGCGTGTTCCATAAAAAAAAAAAAAATCTGAAATTATCAGCTATACAATCTGGTTTTTGTTGAGCGAAGGTATTTTATTAACTGGCAATTAAAGAGTCACTTCATGATGAACAGTTTGGGCCAGGAAGCAAACTCTGAATCCATCAGCATTTATGAAGTGGCTGGAAATGAAGGGGAAAATCCTTCAGAGCTACTCAGAACTGAATCTATTCATGAAAAGTACAGGTCTACCCGGTGACCTTTTGTATTGACTTTTAAGAGTCTTAATTTAGAATCAACCCCAAAGCATCTAAAAGCATTCCTGTGTGTGAGAACTGGCATGTTGACCTGTAGAAACAGACATCTCGCATTCATCCTGGTCCAAGAGTAAGGCAGGGGAGAGGGGAAACTGGTTTGACTTCGCTTGTGTTCGTGCTGACTCACCCCTAACTCTTTCATGGTGGCACAGCTGTAGGATTATCCCTCAGGTATTTTTGTAAACCTGGTCGTTTCTCTATTGCCAATACATATATATGGTCAGAAAACTTGAGAAAGACCTCATATTAAAAAGAGAAAAACCTGAGGATTATCTGAATATTTCCACTCACCTCTACAAATGGAAAATAGACTCTTGTCAACATATCACACAAGTACAAGCTTCGTCAGTCCATAGAAAGGCTACAAATGAGCATACGTGGCCACAGAGGAGCTGTTGACAAAGGTCTGGAGGTGAGTGAATCAGAAGGCTGCATGGGGGTCAGGGGCTCCAGGCAGGATTCCAGGCCATCGCTGAGCCAAGGAACCAGAGGACAACTTCAGAGCAAGGAAGACAGAGGCCAGGGAGGGTGCGGGGTGTGGGGCTGGGGAAGCCTGGAGCGTGGCCTGCAGGTGCTTGGCGGAACCTTCTGGAGAAGATGAGAGTCACCCCTGGGGTAGTGACCTGAGCAGACCTAAGCTGTGCAAGCTGTGGTCTAAGGTCTGTGGTTCACGACCGTGGTTGGGATGGCCTGTGGGTGGGGAAGTGATCGAGGCAGGGAGGCTGTTAGGTCCAGGCAGGGAGTCCCAAGAGACAGGAAGCCGGGTCCGTGCAAGCCCAGGTTCCACCCAAAGGCAAGTGTGGGCCAGGGGCCGGAGCTCCTCTGAAGTTTGCGTCCATCTCCATTGGAGAACGCATTTAAAGTCAGACATCATCCACGAGGCTGTGAGTGAAGTGAGTTCTGTTTGCCTTGTTGATTTTTTGCAAAAATGATGAGGAAGGAAAGGCACATCCAGCTGGTGGCACAAAGATCTGGGCTCATAGTGAGCAGAACGGTGACACCCTGGCCTGGCTCACAAATACCCATGGTCATCCTTTCATGACTGCCTCCCCTCCCTCCTCAGCCCCTTCCTGGGGTCCCCTCCATCTGCATAAGAGTGTCTCAGAGTGCCCTGCCCAAAACACCTCTCCCGCAACCCTAGTGCAGCGGAGCAGGGCTCCCCTTAGACACTCTGTCATTCAGGACTCTGAGGATTAGTGAGTGTCCCTGTGGTATCTTGAGATGTTTGAACCTGGAGATGACCGGAAGGATGTTTAAAGGGGTTTGGGTGTCCCTGCTTGGATTTCCAATTTTCTGGAGGGCTGATGGCATGAGAAGAGAGAGTGCCGTCAGGGTGGACCTCCATAAATCGTGCACAGCATTTTAGAACAATTGTGGCGGGTGGTCCTACGTTCACTTGACCATTTCATCAAGAAACGTCGCAGACAAGTTAACACTTAAAGCATGAAAGTTTTCCATTTCTTATCGGGATCCGTCTGGAGACCCTCTCTGCTGAGATGCTGAAGCACAGAAGCAAGGAGATTGATTCATGGCTCGTTCACCTTCACCAGCGCGAGTAAAGGGAAGACATGAAAGCACCATAGACACCTTCAAAGATGAGCTTCCAAAAATTAGTCGTTTCATCCCCTAGAGAAGAAAACGAACTTCTATCCTGTACCTTTTCTTATACAAAAATTAACTCAACATGGATCATGTATTTACATGTAAAACTAAAACCTTTAGGTAAAAAGAGGGAAAACAGGTCTTCAGGATCTAGCGCTGGGCAAACAGTTTTTACATTTGATGCCAAAAATATCCACAA